TTACTCATATGTGAAATCTTGAAAAAAAGAAAAAGGAGGACATTAATGAACTCATCTACAAAACAGAAACAGACTCCGAGACATAGTAAACAATAAGTTACTGGAGGGAGGGATAAAGTTGGGAGTTTGAGATTTGCAAATGTTAACCACCATATATAAAAATAGTTAAAAAAACAAACTTCTGTTTAGCACAGGGAATTATATTCAATACCTTGCAATAACCTTTAATGAAAAGGAATATGAAAACAAATAGAAGTATGTGTATGCATGACTGGGACATTGTACGGTACACCAGAAATTGGCATACTGTAACTGACTATACTTCAATTCAATAAAAAAAAAAACTACAGTAAGATACCATTTCATACCCATCAGCCTATCAAAAATGAAAATGGCTGCTGACACCCACCGCAAGAGTTGGGAGGATGTGGTGTATGGGGAGCTGAAGGCTAAATTGTTAGGCTAGCTTGGGAACAGTTTGGTGTACCCAGGACCCAGGGGTGCCACACCTAGCTGTCTATACCCAAGATCGTGGATTCACACCAGGATAATGATTTCACCCACGGGTGGCAAAAACCTTATTCGCTATTACAATGGCTCATGACCCTCCAAAGAGCCACAGAACTGAAAATATACAGTATATTTGTGGTATTAAAATTCCACTGGAAGAAATAGGAAAACAACATATAAAAGTCTCTTCGGGTCAGGGGGCAATCAGACAAGAGGCTGGGAGTCACTGCCTGGGAGAAACTCTGGGATGTGAGCCCAGGCAGCACGTGGGTCTGTCTGCAGCTCTGTCGTTCAGACCAGCAACAGCACAGGAAACCACCCACGGTCCTGCAGCCGTGCAGCGCACCTGTAAAACAGGAAACACTCACAAAATTCAGGACTGAGCATCAGTGAGAATGAGTCATCACACCTACATGAGCAGTTCAGTAAGGAAAAAAAATCAATCAGAGAAGAAAAGCTACTGGATGGTTCCATTTATATGAGGTCAAACCGTGCAAAACTCAATAGACATAAATGCTAAAACAAAGACAAGCACAGGTATAATTTATTAAAAAAGCCTGACAAATTGGCCATCTCTGAAGAGAGGGGGGCATGGGATTGGAGCAGGGTACAGGAGGTTGGATTCTGATTCTGGTGTTTTCTTAAACAGGCTGATAAGTACCATGGGAGTTCATTTCATTAATTTTCAAACAATATTTGCCTGCATATACTGTACATTTCTTTGGAGATGAATACACATACACACACATATATGTATATATATACTTCATAATAAATGAGTAGCATTTTTTAAGGGCCTTGTGCCATGTATACGTGACACACTGGTAAGTGGTTTTAATTGCAGTCAACAGGAGGGGACTTCTGAGTGTGAAGCGTGTCAGATACTTGTGTATTACATCATATTGCAGTGATGGTGGGACTCTTTCAACCAGATGACATTTTTGCAGCAAGAATGGTTTGAAAGCCGGGTTCCCCAACCTTTCCCCTCCTCTCAGAGAAAGAGCGTTTATCCAGAAAGGCTTGCCTCCTTTTCTGCCTGTTCCCTCCATCACCTCCCCTTTGCCATCTGTGCTCTCTCCTTGCAGCCCTCCCCGATGGAGCTCTGGACCCGGCCCTCCGTGTGGACGAGGCGGGCAGTGAGGAGGACCTGTACGAGGACGTGCACAGCTCCAGCCACCACTACAGCCACCCTGGAGGGGGCGGCGAGCAGCTGGCCATCAATGAGGTAGGGTCAGGGCTGCGTGGGTGACGGGACAGGCCTGGGACGTGCCGCCTGGCTGTCTGGGCAACTTCAGCACACACTTGCCGGCCTGGATGTCTGCAGTCTCTCTGTTTCAAGCAGATGACAGTGGCACCAGGCACACAGCCCAGTGTCAGCCTGTGGCTCTCACTTTAGCATGTGGTGTCCAGGAGCAGAGCTTGTCAAATACAGGACCTCCCACCTCCGCTCTGCCCTTCTGGGGTCTATAGGGAACCCAGAATAGCAGGTGCGGCACCCAGGACCTGTGATGTGACCCCTGTAACCCTGTCCTGGGGTGGAAGACCCTCCCCTTGGTAGGAGGGAGGCCAGGGCTTAGCCCCTGACCCTCCGAGTGGCCTGGGCAGGACCAGGGCACAGCAAGTGATTTCTTTCCTATTGACTTCAAGAGCTCAGAAAGTACTGGCATTGCAGGGAGGTGGTGTAGCTCACTGGTAGAGTGTGTGCCTTGCACGACATGGCCCTGGGTTCAATCCCCAGTATTTCCATTATAGGTAAATAAATAGAAAGCTAATCACCTCCCCCACAAAGTAAAAAAGTAAATAACAATTTTAAAATGTGATATAAAATTGCCATTAAATAATGACTTATTGAAAATCCGTGATGCATAAGGAATAAACATGCAAATGTGTTGGTTTTTCTAACACGTGAAGTCTTTGTTTAAGGGCTTCTTGGAAGCTCTTTTGAATGGAAAGTGCTCCAAAGTGGTGTCGTCTTACGCAGAATTCAGAGAATGGTTCGCTTTTCCTTGAAGACTCAGCTGCCCTCCTCAACCGTGGGGCCCAGCCCTGGTGGGAAGCCACGTGGGGCAGGGGAGAGCCTTACACACGTGGATGGCAGCTCCTCCTGCCAGCGACCAGGTGTGGAGATGGGCGCAGGTAACCTCTGAGCATCGGTTGACTAAACTGTACATATAGGGTAGCCACACCTTTACAGGAGGACTGACTGAAATAACAAATGTCAGTAACCTGGACGTGGTAATCTTCCATGATGAGGATGACTGAAGAAGGAATAGTAACAGAAAGCCTTCGGGAACTCTGAGGGGGTGTGGGGTTACCTGACTGGCCATCGGGGTTGCGCTGTTAGATCTTGTGTCCGCTTTTTATAGCCGTGGTCTCCGACCTGGTGGGAATCCCGGTCCATGACATGCTGCTCCCGGTGGGGAGGTGTCTTTAGGGCCCTGGATAAACTGTTCATTCTAAGATGCTTTGGTTGAGGAAAGCCGAGAGCCAGGAGTGCTCTAGAGGAACAGACAGGCTCCGGCCGAGGGCATGCTGATGAGGGAAGTGCAGGTAATTTAGGTTATGAATTGGGTAGTATTTATTTTTGCTGCTCAGAGAATTTGTTTCCTCTTTGGTTCATAGTTCTTTCCCGGCATTTGGGGTTGCTGAGCGGACAGGGTGGGGATGCTGTGCCCTCTGTTTAGAGCTCTCAGAGCTTCCAGGCTGCTGGTCTGCCCTGGGCCCTGGTGTGCCCCCAGGGGGCAGGTGGGCAGGTCCAGCGGAGGCGCCCCTCCAGTGATGCAGCGGGCTGACCTGGTCGGTGCCCCGCAGCCTGCTCTCCCCAGGGGACCCACCAGGACTTACAGATGCTAATACAGAATCCCTGTAGTGGGCAGCTCGGCCTGAAGGGCAGGGCCTGGGTTTGACCACCATCCTGCCCCTGACTAGTGCAGGACCCGAGACAGGTCACTCCCTTCTTGGGCCTCTGTTTCCTCCGTGTGGGGTGGATGTGGCACCTGGGCCCTGCGGCAACGTAGGAGAGTCACTGCGCCCCGGTATACGGGGTACCGGGAAAGGCAGTATTCATTGCGATTCGTTGGCAGCCTTCAGTAGATGCACTTTATCTGAAATTCCAGGGGTTAGGATGTATAGGTCAGTGGTAGAGCACATGCTTAACATGCAGAAGTCATGAGTTCATGGGTTCGATCCCTGGTACCTCCAGTTAAATAAAGTAATAATAATAAATAAATAAACCTAATTACCTCTCCCCTGCCCCCCCAAAAAGAAAAGAATCTCCTAAGAGGCATAAGGGGATTCTCGGGTGAAAGGCTGGTTCACTCAGTCTTGCGAGAGCGGCGCGTCCTGATGGGGGTCCCCGCCCCTCGCACTCACCGTGTCGCCGCCTGCGCAGGCGCGGCCGGAGGGCTTGCTGGGGGTCCCCGTGGGTTTCAGGCTTGGAGCTGAGCGCAGGGACAGAGGTCGGAGGGAAGTCCGTCCTAAGTACCATTTGGCTCGCTCAGAGATCACACATTCACTTATGTTTTCTAAGAACACGTGGGTGTCGCGTTCTAAATTGAGACGCTTTCCTGCTCCTGTTGGCCTCAGAAGGAGAGAGCCCTGCTCAGTTTCCTACCTGGGGAGGGAAAGCACCTGGCCTGCAGGGCAGGGGACCCCGGAGGCGAGGGGACGGGGTCAGTGAAGCTCTTTTGGGTCTTGGGTAAGTGAGGAGGAGGAGCGAGTGTGTGAGACCATGTGAGGGTCTGCGTGGGTGGTGTGTACATGTGACACACTGAGTGTTTAGCGTCTGTCGGGCAGTGTCGCAGGCCTGGGATGGAGCTGTGCGGGGGCTGTAGTATCGCCTTCAGGGAGCTGACCCTCGGACGGGGCGGGCAGTGCACGTCTGCGGGCACCTGGCCTTTTCTGCTTCCGCCCTCGTGGATGAGGAGAGGGTGCCATGTCTTGTTCATACTGTATTCCCTGTGCCTAACTTGTGCCTCGCACCTCCTCATTGTCGGGTTCCTGCAGGATGAGTTAACGTTGAGGCCCAGAAGTGTCCCTCTCTCCTTTCAGCACTGTCCCCTCTAGGGCCTTCTCCAGATGCCCGTGCCCCGGGCCTGGGACCGCCTGCCCGATACCTCGCCCTCCTCCCGCCCTCTCTCTGCCTCCCACTCTCTGCCCGAACCCGCTGGGCCAGACAGCATCCCCGAGGTCAGGCCTGAGGACATCCTTGGCCCAGGGATTTTTTTCTGAAGAGTTGAGGCCTGAAAGGAGGAGGTGTCTTTGGAAGACATTGCTCCCTTTTCATTTCCATCACCCCCCAGGCAAGTTGTGAGAGGGGACCAGAGGAGAGTAGGGTTCAGTTCCTGGCCAGGAGACCTGGGGTCTCCTTGTGCCCCCAGTGCCCTGCAGACGGCAGTGTCTCCCCTCCCTGCCAGGCCGCCCTGCTCTGGAGGACAAGCTCCTGGATCATCCTGCCAAGAGGAGATGATGCTCAGACTAGAGGGCAGACAGGTCTAAAGCTTGTCCTCCAACCTGGGGCTTAAAGCATAAAAGGAGCCTTGCCCACAGTTAGGCAGCACAGCAGGTGGACCGCAGGGTCACCGAGGGGAGAAGGCAGCCCGGCCGTCCTCTTGCTCCCGGCACTTCTTGGTGGAGCATTTAGGGAACACTGCAGCCGCAAGTCCCCTCCATGGAGTCAGTGTGACCCTCTCTCTAGGAGTTTCTTTCTTCCCAGTGCCTGTGATCCTGGACATCTGTCTCTGGACCTGCATGGGCTCTTGCACTCGCTCGCCAGCCCCGGGGATGAGCCCAGTACTTGTCTGTGTCCCAGATACCTCGGGTGCGCCCTGTCTGGACAACAGCTGGACATGGGTCTCCGAGAGGCAGGGCAGAGGTAGCTTGCAGCCCCGAAGCCAGGCCTGCAAGTGATCTGTGACCAACATCCCAGGGCAGCTTTCCTCTTCCCTCACCCTCCTGAAGCCCCGCCCCAACCCCACCCATCTCCCCATCTGTGTTGCCCCTGGAAGACCTGCAGAGCCACCCAGCCAGCCTGGTGGGCCATGCCCTGCAGCCTCCTCCATTCACCCTCCCCTCCCCGACTTGGATCCATCCGGCCTGAACACCTCAAGGGCATAGGTCTTTGCCTCTGAGCTGTTCTGGGTTGGTTTTTCTGTCATGAAATACACAAGAAAAGGCTGTTGCTGCCGTCTTCCCTGCCGTATGTCCAGATCACCGGGATCTAAAGGCTGGGTGTCCCGGGTGGGACAGAGGCCACCTCTCAGTCCTCCATCCTGGCCCAGGTTCAGAGGTGGTCATGCCTCTTAAACTCTCCCAGGCTCTTCAGCTGAACAAGGGACAGAAGCCCCACCCAGAATTGGGCCACAGCCGAAGTCCTAAGGCTCAGCCCCGAGGCCAGACGGCAGACCAGCAGGTCCTGGAGACACACAGCGTTCAGTGCCGTGCTGACCAGTGACTTCCCAAACCACCCTGACCGGCCCTCTGTGCCCACCTTCCTGGGTGTCTGATGGTTCTGGAACCACTGGGGCACAATGAAACATCTGACCCAAGTCAAGGGTTCTGAGCCACACCCCACCAGAGGGCACGCCACACAGCTTTACCAGAGGAGCACTGAGATTTGGGGTGGCAGGGAGCCCCCACAATCCTCCTGAGAGCCTGAGGGAGAAAATCTTGAGACAGTTTTTTGAAACGCTGGGTAGGACCAGAGGACTGTTTCTCCCAATGAGACAGATGGAGCCAGGCTGAACTAGATCTGTGGGAGGCAGACAGCCCACATCGCACCACCCACTTGGCCTCTTCAGCAGGATGGATACAGCCACGGGTACCCTCATCTCTGCTCACCCACGTGTGCAGTGCGGCACACACACAGACGCCCAAGCGCACAGCCACCCACCTAGGAGCGCCCAGCCTCTGCGCACCATCCCTCCAGGGGCTTCTTCTGCCACGGGAGTCACAGTGCTAACCACGGAGCCTCGCAATCTGTGCCCACATCTGAGCTGCTTTTCAGGCTCGTCGGCCCCCTCAGCTGCAGCCTTCTGCCCTATCCAAGAGGCCCGGTGACTGGAATGGAGCTCCCCACCATGGAGGGAAGAGGATGCCTGCACGTGAGCTCTGAGCTCTATAGGTTAAGGTTGCAAGGCTCTGTCAGGGAGGCCGTAGAAGCAAAACCCTAGGTACCTGACATGAGGGTTTTTTAAAAGCTCCTGAACCCCATGCAGAAGAATGAAA